TTTGTCGCCCCCTGCTGGCACCAGGACACGATGAGGACCCCCCCCCCCCCCAAACCGGGGGGGGGGCCCCCGGGGCCCCCCCCCCCCCCCCCCCCCCCGTGCCTTCGTCACTTTATTGTCCCCGCGGGGCCACCGCGCCCCTCCCCCACCCTTATTTATACTAAAGAGATTTTTTGGCACTCGGGTGGCACCGGCGTGACCGGGGGAGGGGACAGCGAGGGGACACCACGGGGACAGCGGGGGTGGCACCTGGGGACGGATTGGGGACACTGGGTGGCACTTGGGGACGGACTGGGGACACCGGGTGGCCCTTGGGGACACGCTGGGTGGCACTTGGGGACGGACTGGGGACACCGGGTGGCCCTTGGGGACACGCTGGGTGGCACTTGGGGACGGACTGGGGACACCGGGTGGCCCTTGGGGACACGCTGGGTGGCACTTGGGGACGGACTGGGGACACCGGGTGGCCCTTGGGGACACGCTGGGTGGCACTTGGGGACGGACTGGGGACACCGGGTGGCCCTTGGGGACACGCTGGGTGGCACTTGGGGACGGACTGGGGACACCGGGTGGCCCTTGGGGACACGCTGGGTGGCACTTGGGGACGGACTGGGGACACCGGGTGGCCCTTGGGGACACGCTGGGTGGCACTTGGGGACGGATTGGGGACACGCCAGGTGGCACAGGGGACAGCATGGGGACACTGGGTGGCACCTGGGGACACGCTGGGTGGCACTTGGGGATGGATTGGTGACACCGGGTGGCACTTGGGGACAGTTTGGGGACACGCCGGGTGGCACAGGGGACACGGGGACAACTTGGGGACACAGGGACAGTTCGGAGACACGGGAGGTGGCACAGGCTTGGGGACACGGGTGGCACTGTTTGGGGACACGCCGGGTGGCACAGGGGACACGGGGACAACTTGGGGACGCAGGGACAGTTCGGAGACACGGGAGGTGGCACAGGCTTGGGGACACAGGGGTGGCACTGGGGACATTTGGGGACACTGGGTGGCACTGGGGACACTTTGGTGGCACAGAGGGGACATTTGGGGACAGGGGGTGGCACAGAGGGGACATTTGGGGACAGCGGGTGGCACTGGGGACACTTTGGGGTCACTTTGGTGGCACTGGGGACACTTTGGGGACA